TTCAGCAAGTGCTACTTAGGCTTTGAACTTCTGAGATCTGGCATAAGTACGAAGCTTCTTGGATAGTTTTGATTGGTTTGTTTTTTCTTCACATTGAACCCAGAAAAACAGTGCATACAACATGTGGTTGCAACAATTTGCAGCCAGTTCTGCAATAGGATGTTTCTGTTCAGGCTGTTGAGCTTGTAGGACTCACTCATGAAGGCAGGTTGGAAGTTTGTTCTTCCAGAATGCTCTCACACATGTTTGTGCTACAAATTTTTAAATAATCATACTGATGCTGCTAATTCACTCTCATATATTCACCCTGGGCTGCCTTCACTGCTACACAGTGCATCACACTCACTCACAAAAATGTGTGAAGTTCTAGGCAGGCATGACAGTGCCCCTCCAGAGAGCACCCTGCTTTGCCCTAATATAAGGAGATAAGGGCTGTCTTTCAGAGGCTCTGTCAGCCTAGAAATTACCCATGGAAGCATCAACAGGCTGTTGCTTCCAGCATTATATGGAAGAGTCCCGACTTGGGATGACAGTAAGGTGTTTTTAGGCACAGCTCACTTGCGTGTGCTATGTGATGGGAGGTGGTGTGAAGGGTGGGAAAGCACAGTTGCATCTACTGTGCAAATAGCGAGAGGAAACGCATTTAAAAGGGATAATGGACCTTTTTAACTGTTTCAGACTCTCCCTATAGATATTATTTTCGGGAAGGAGACTCAAGCCAGCACACTTGACAGCACCAGCAGGCATCTATGCCTTAGAAAGTCTAGCTCCACATTTTCTTCCAAACCAGAGTTATTAATGCAACTCCTTCTTCATCCTGACACTATTGCTGTGATCTCAACAAACTGTTGCTCCCTCTTCCTCTTCCATGTCCATTTTGGCATCGTTGAATCCTAAGATAGAGGTTTAAACTTGCCTGCATCATGGACACTGGTTCCAGTAGTTTTAGTGTCATCTAGAGGCACTACCTTGTCTCTGCTTGGAGTCCAGCAGATACTTTTATTTGTGTGGTTTTCACAGCACAACACACCAGTAACGTGTGCTCGTGCTTTGCCACAGAAGACAGAACACAAAGACACTACCTCCAAGTACCCTGGTAGGAGGAGAGATTGGCTTCATACTTGATGCAGCTGAAGAAGTGGGTACCACCACCTCTAGTAATTCAGCA